AAAGAGAAAATCATGGGCAAATAAATCTGTTTACTTGTGAGGTTTTAGTTTTGGGTTTTGATTTTTGAATAGTAAAATTTTGAATTGAAATAGTTGTTTGATATGATATAAATATGTGTTGATGTAATGTTTTGAATGTAAAATTAAATTTTAGTGTAGTAAAAAAAAATGAGTGTTTGATTTGATGTTTTTTAAGAGAAAAAAAGTTGGAATAGTAAAATCAGGTGTAAAACCTAACAAGTAAACACACTTGGAAGTATTGGTTTTGAGGTGAATTTTAAATAAATAAATTTGAGTTATTCAAATTTAAAATGATTCGATACTAAAGTTCATCGACGGTTGTACAAGGAATTTGAAATAACACAATACAAAAAGTGTTGAAATTGATAGGATTTGCAATCCACAATAAATTCGAAGATTTAAATCCATTGTGTTACTAAACAATACTAATAAATTTGATGTTGAGTAAGAGATGGCGCCGGAATGTGGAATTTATATACTCTCTCCGTCCAGCTCTAAGTGTCTTATCTACTTTTTGCGTAATTGTACTTAATATTAAAAAGATCATTATATTTGTATAATTTTTTACATAAATGTCATTGTACTAGTATTATAAGATATTAATAGAAGTATTTTTTGCCATTTTTTTCTTAATTTGTATTATGTTTTCATATAATAATTAATGTTCAAATATCAATGCACAAAAAGTAAATGAGATCCTGGAAGTCGTACGTGAGGTAGTTTTATTTTATAATAATTGAATTCGATTGTTCATTGTAACAATAATTGCAAGTATAAATATTACAACATATAAACGATGTCTTGGCAAATAATGTAGTGATAAAGAAATGTTGCTAACCCTCATCCATCACTTATGTGTGGTGGCCAATGCAACAATGGTTAGGACAAGTTCTTGTCAAAAGTGGTCAACAATATTCTATGGGACCCAAATCAAGAACTATGGTTGTTTAGATTAAAATAATAATAATAAAAATTGAAGTTCTAAAAATAACAAAAAAAAAAAAAAAAATTAATACTCCTTCTATTCTAGATAATTCGGGCGTATTACTATAGATACGAGAATTGAAGTAAAATATAATTAGTAAGTAATTAAAAAATATATTGAAAAAATAATTATAAATTAAGATAATTAAATAGTTTAATTACGAAAATAGAAAATAAAAATAGATTATATACGATGTGATATAAATAAGAATTAATACGATACTTTTAGAGGGAATCTTTTGTATGAATAGTAAAAATTTATCGAAATTCTTCAAACAAACGCAACCTAATAAACAATGGCCTTTTTTTGATATAAAAGTAACGTATAATTTTATATTTTTTTCTTTCTCTCTATATATATATGCTATAAAAATTTTATTGTAGAGTTTAGAATTAATAAATTTCTGAGTAATGTAGATGTAAGCTTTGTTTAGATAAAGGATTTTAAAATTATAAAAAAATACTAAAATATTAGCATTTGATATAATATTTTTAAACGTAAAAGTATTATATAATGAAATGTTTTTTTTTTTTTTAATATAAAAAAATTACTATTGATGGATAGCATAAAGAAACTAAAAAATATGTGTAAATACAACTATAAATAGTTGACATTAAGTTCTCTTAGGGTGTGTTTGTTTGGGGGTTTGGATTTGAATAGTAAAAATTTTGAATTTGAATAATTATATGACGTGATATAAATAGGTGTTCATGTGATGTTTTGAATTTAAAATTAATTTTTAGTATAATATAAAAAATGAATAATAGATGTTTGATTTGATATTTTTGGGGAAAAAAATTGAATGAATAGTATAAATTCAATCGAATCTCCCAAACAAACATTACTTTGTATGTTGCTCTCTATCAATTTTCATGATTTTATTTACTTGTTTATTTATTATTATTATTGTTTTTATTATTATTTTTGCAACAAGAGATTTTCAAGTAATTATATATATATATATATATATATATCATAAAAGAGAATTACAATCAAAAGCTAGCGATCTAAATACGCAACTAAAAAATTAAAATTTTAAAAATAAAATAAGAAGTTAAAATCATGTAAGAGCCAACAACCTAAATACTCGAAGAAGTTTTTACCACCTAGACAAGTAAAACAAAGACAACTATCAAAATACCAACGAGACAAAATAAGATAAAAAAATCATTTACGTTGTGTTTTTTTTTGTGGGTTTTACTATTCATATTGTTTTTTTCCTTCCAAAAATATCAAATCAAATAATTATTTTTTTTTTATATTATACTACAAATTATTTTACATTCCAAAAATCACATCAACTTCTATTTATATCGAATCAAACAACTATTCAAATTCAACTTTTTACCATTCAAAAATCCAAACAAAAAAAACTAAAATTCACAAACAAACACAATCTTAAGATCCTAAACGGCACTCAGACATGAAGAAAGTGAGTTATAAAAGCATCGTGACGAGAGAAAAACGTGAAAAACTCTGTATATGGAATGAGTGAACGATTCTCCAAAAGAATTTGTACATATGGAATAAGAGAAATATATTTATCTAGAATGGAAAAGATATTCTCAATTCATTTAACCCCCAATGTATTGTACCCCTTCTATACCGACTAATCATCGGCCGTCATGTGTATTTAAATTTATTTATTTTTATTTTATTTTTTTAAAAATACACATGACAGATGGTGATTGGTCGATATAGGAGGGACACAATACATTAGAGATAAGGTAACTGAACTCGCCAACTTGATTATAGTCAATCGGTAGCATTCTTTTTTGGAAGGCTTATATTCCGAATTCAAATTTAGGAATGTGTTAAAAATAAATAAATAAATCTAGTCTTATGCACATATTTAGTGTATTTGATCATTAATCAATATCAAGAAAAATTCTATTTTAAACTTATTTTCTAAATATATTTAGATCCAACATAAAATACAATATACTCCCTCCGTCCACAAACTAATGTCCTACTTTTCTATTTGGGATGTCCAACAACTATTGTCCTATTTCCTTTTTTAAACACAAATTTTACATTTTTACCCTTTATTCATTTATTACTTTTAATTTCTACCATACAATTAATGGCAAATTTGTCAATTCATAACAAAAAGACAATTACCTAAAAAAACCATGCAAATATACTTTAGGACAATAGAAATTGGACGGAGGGAGTAATATCTAAATGTTATAAAAATTGTTCTACAAATTTTACAACAAGCCAAACCCGATTATACAAACTTGACCATATTGTCTAGCTTTGTTATCATATTGTTACGAAATTTTAGGTCTTATGTAATTAGTAAGTAATTAAAAAATGTATTAGTGAAAATAATTATAAATTAAGATTTAGATGACTAAATAATTTAATTAAAATAAAAAAAATTATACTCCCTCCGTCTCATTGAAAAGTTGTCGTTTTCTATTTTCGTTCGTCCTTAAACAAGGTTACAATTTCTAATTTAGTAATTGTACTACCTACCTAACATAATAAATACTCTTCCAACTTACAATATATTACACAAATATCATTACTTTTATATTAGACCATAATAATAGGGGTATTTTTGTCATTTTTACTACAATCCAATATTAATATTAATATTAAAAAATTTACGTGCAAAAAGTAAACGTCACATTTTCAGTACGACAGAGAGAGTATATGAATTTTAAAATATGATTAAAATGTGTAATTATATTTTTAAAAAAAATGACAAATTATGTGGGACCGACAAAAATAGAAAGAATAGACAAATTAAGTGGTACGGAGAGACTATTTTCCAATAATTTTTTTCTTTGGCATATGATATCCATAGTTGTTAAACGAATTAAGTCATTAGTGAACTTGACTCGATTAGACTTGTTTTAAAAAATTATTTACAAACGTAAACAAGCCGAGCCAAATAATATATATTTACAGTGACGGGAGAGTATAATATTTTGTGAGAAAAATATATTAAATATAATATTTTTGAAAAAAAAAATTGTTTGTGGAGTTCTCGATTGAGTTTTATTATTCCATTTTATTTTTTTGATAAAATATCAATTCAAATATCTATTTTAATTCAAGGTAAACTATATAACATTCATTTGTGGTTTTAATTAAAATGTACAAAAAATATATATATATATATATTATTTTATTTATTGCGTAAAATTGTTAAACTAAAGTTACAAAAAGCACCTTCTTCATATAGAAATAAAAAAGATGAATATATTAAATATTTTCTTTAATATAATAAATAAATAATTTATAATTTTTCTAGAGACTAACTGTAATCTAATTTTTTACAAAAACTATAAAACTTACATAATTTAATTCGCATTTACAACCAAATATCAATTTTGACAAAAATAATATTTTGTGCAAATTTGAATTTAACAGTTCAAGCAATATATAAAACAAAGGAAGTGTTCTGTAGAATTTTATTTATAAAATTATCCTTAGGGTGTGTTTGTTTGGGGATTTTCTCCTAAATACACTATTCATCCATTTTTTTTACTCTTAAAAACCTCAAATCAAACACATATTTTTTATTTTTTATATTATACTGAAAATTAATTTTACATTCAAAACATTACTTCAACACCTATTTATATTATTCAAATTCAAAAAACTCAAAATCCAAACCCTCAAACAAAATGTTTATTTTTTTTTTATTTCATTCTATTCAATATAATTTTATCAATTTTCTTTTAAAATATGTTAATTATATTTTAAAATTTATAATTTATAATTTTTTTAAATAAAATTATTTTTTTAATATTTTCTTTCATTCTTTAGTCAATAAAATATTTTGTATTTTTTTTATTATTATTATTAAAAAAAAAAAAAAACAAAAACATTCCCAGCAGACTACTACTATTTTTAACAAATATGGTGCGACCACGGGCAAAATGGCAATGAATAATGGCAATGACCATGTGGTGCCGGGGACCACGAACCTCCCAAGATTCTCCCCGCACCGGGCGTGGGTAGCACGCGATCGCGATGATCGCTACTTTTTTTGGCTGGATTCATAGTTTTCGAGCACCGATTCGCTGCGGGATTCGGCAGCCTTCTTTGAAACTGACAATGAATCTTCTCCGTGGATTCGGAATCTTGTGTGCCATCCGTGTTCCTCCTCCTATCTCGGCTTCGATTTAAACCCGCAGAATCGATTGATTCCAAGGCGCACGGTGAGCATGGAGCTGCAGGGGAAGCCTATCGACTGCGGCTTCTACATGCCTGCCGAGTGGGAACCCCACGCCCAGTGCTGGATTGGATGGCCGGTGAGGTTTTCGACACTTTGAGTGATTTCAGTTTTGATTATTGCTTTGATTTGTTTTTAAGTTCACTTGGAAACCTGTTTCGAATTCGCGGATTGGAGCTATAGAAGAGGTTTTTTGGTTGATTTTGGAATCTGAGATTGATTTTGATGGTTTAAATCTGTGGAGCATCTGATAACGACATCTTTGCTGAAGAATTTTGAAAATTAGGGCATTTTAGATTTTATTGTATTGGTATGATGTAACCAAATTGAGAAAACATTCAAGTGTGGTTGAGTTTGATGATTTGTGAGGAATTTGCTCTGTTTTATTTTCCTTAGATGAAATTGAGAACAAATTCGTGTGTATTTGCATTTGATGGTATACAGCCAAATGATAGAATGTTCTTCCTTAACTCTTGGTTTAAGATCAGGCTTAATTCAAAAGATCTTTTGAATTAGAATAGTTGTTGGATATTATATAAATTAGTGTGGATGTTTAGAACACAAAATTGATATTTTATGTACTATAAAAATATATAAAAGCATATATATATATATATATATATGGTAATGGTCAGGGTAAGAAACCCACGAACAAACAGAGCTTTAGAGTTGTGACAAATCAAGATCTGACTGGAAATAGATCTGCGTAAATTCATTCCTAATGTTTGGGAATTCTTGCAACCTTTCAATGATTCATAACATCGAACGTCGTTAACAGTTTTTGTTCTCTGTGATTATATGCCATTCTAGAGGGCTTTTTCTTTTAGTAACTTTGAGGTGAAATAGCTGTTAAGCATTTGACGTGATGGTTTTGAAAAGAAATTAAGTGATGCCAAAAAAATGAAGAAAAAAAAAAAAAAAGGCAAAGAGAACAAGCCATAGATTTTGTGCACCATCTAGTTTGATTGATTTTCAAGCGATGTGTGTTGCAGGAGAGGCCCGACAATTGGCGAGACCATGCAGTGCCTGGTCAGCGTGCATTTGCGAGAGTTGCCTCTGCAATTTCTAAATTCGAACCTGTCACTGTCTGTGCTTCTGCTGCACAGGTTGAACTGACGAAGCCCTAACTATTTGCTGCCATTATTTCTGAAAACTATATCTCTTCTGAAGCATAAGGTTTCCTGCACCAGTGGAACAATGCCCGCAGTCAGCTGCCAGAGCATATTAGGGTCATCAAGATGAACATGAACGATTCTTGGTTCCGGGACACTGCTCCGACAGTGAGTTTTTCTCATGTAAACAATATCATTATCCGGTGCCATCAAAAGTTATAATTCTAACACAACTGTTTGTGGCAGTTTGTCATCAGGAGTAGTTCATCGAACAAGGATAATTTGGGGAGCGAGATTGCCGGGATAGATTGGACCTTCAACAGCTATGGCGGTAAGGCTGCTCACTGCATCCTTGGCCAATATTTTTACCATTTCAAAATATGATTTGTGAAGTGTGAACTGCTAATGTAAGGAGAAGTCACTGCCACATAAAGTCTCACCGACTTTTATTGTTTAGTTTAATTCAAGACTTGGCTGGTGGTCGGATATGAATTATTCATGGTTGCAATACACACCTGGATACTAGAATGGTAGGCCATAGAAAAGTCATTCTAAAACCTGGTGTATTGGGACTTGGGACTGCAGTCGTATGGGAAAACACCTTGTTTCATCATGAAATTTATTAGTTCGTCTTTCATTTGTTAGAACATTGATGCCCCTTTTTCGGGACGGCCACAGCTATTAGGGCCTTCCTGAAGTGCGTTTCACTTATCACTTATAATGAATTTCAGAAGCCACGAGCAAACCAGTGGTTGAGTTGATTTTCATATGTATAGTTACATCTTCTCTTAAGTCTAGTAGAATTTTGATTTCCTTGTGCTCTATCCTTTGTGTTTTTCTTTGTTTCTGGCGCTTAACATGGTGCACAAAAAAAGGGAACTTTAACAGGAGTATGTGTAACTTTCGCAGGCATAGATGGAGGTTGTTATAACGATTGGAGCGACGACATGCTTATTGCTAAAAAGGTTGGATGAGTTCTGTCTTAGATTGGAAAGGAAGTTTTGTGTTCTTGTAAGCGTATGATCGCAACCTTTTCAATATGTTTCTAAACAATTTCTACTTGTAGATTTTGGAAATAGAAAAGATTCCGAGGTTTCCCCATTCGATGGTTCTTGAAGGTGGAAGCATTCACGTTGATGGTGAAGGTTAGCACAATTCTATCTTTTAAGTACGATCATAAAAGATATTATCTGAAAGCTATTTCCGTGCCATACGATGCTGCAATTTTACGTAATCTATAGCCGCATAATATTTGGAATTCGTATTGTCTTTCAGGGACTTGCCTTACCACGGAAGAGTGCCTCCTGAACAAAAACCGGAACCCTGGTTTAACGAAACTTCAGATTGAAGATGAGCTCAAAGCATATCTCGGTGTCGAGAAGGTCATCTGGCTACCTCGCGGATTGTTTGGTATTCTTCTGTTTCATTTTCAATGATGAAAATCTTCTCTGCAAATGCATGAAACTTGATCATCTTAAATAACAAGCCAGGCTCATGTTTTGTCTTCAATGCGTTTCTGCAGTCAAGATTGAAATTGGATGTTTGAATATTTTATTTAAATAATATTTGATATGATAGTTCGTGATAATTTTTTTTTCTCGGAATGTGAAGTTTAAATAGTAAAAGACTGTGCGGAGACTCAAAAGAAATGCATAAACATCATAAATTTTTCTATCCATGTTGTTGAACACCTCTCTCTCTCTCTCAATTTTTGTGGTTCTTTCCTTTCCAGGTGATGACGACACTGATGGTCATATTGACAATATGTGCTGTTTCGCAAGGCCGGGTGTTGTTCTGCTGTCATGTACAGATGATGAATCTGATCCTCATTATGAACGATACATGGAAGCCCTTTCAGTTCTTAAAAACACTGTAGATGCCAAAGGTAGAAAGCTCGAAATTATCAAACTACATGTTCCCGGGCCACTTCATCTGACGGACAAGGAGGCCGATGGATTGAAACAGGTGAACACCTTATTCTTACCATATCATAATTTCAAAACTAACATTTTGGTTGCAAACCATCAGTGAAAATTGACGAAAACTTTCCGGTAAACACCACCTGATTATCTGATAGCTATATACTCTTTCATTTGTTAAATCAATAAGCTGCTTTGAAGTAAATGGTGCCGTTTGGATTTACTATTCCCAGAACTTTGTTTTAAATTAAATTAAGTTTGAAGGTGTGCAGTAACAAATCAATAATTATTGAACGGTAGAATTTCTTATATTTGCGGTAATACTGGAAGTTATGCTTCGCAGATTTAAGAAGTTACATAAACGTATAGACATTGTTTTGCATTTGAATTTTTTGAAGTGAATGATTTGTGTGTTTTGGTCTATTTTTGTATATCTTTGTTGACTTTTGTTGTTATATGTATGTATTATATATTATATTTTTTGGGGTAATATTTTTGGGCAATTGTTTAGGGTGTTAACACTGAACAAACACAATGTTTTTGCGGTAAAATCTATTGTTGCCGTAGGCTCTATAGTGTGAAAAAGTATCAAAAGCACAAGTAAATGATGATCTTTTGAATTACTTCTATTTTTATTTTTTTCTTGGAGATATGAGTTACATCAATCCTAACGTAGCATCCATGTTTTCGATAATCTACTGCGATAATGTTTTATTAGAAAGCTCATCTCATCTCCTTGGTGAATGAACAGGTCGGCGAAGCTAAAGTGAGGATTCCCGGTGGTCGGATTGCTGCTTCATACGTAAACTTCTACATCGCCAATGGAGCTATAATTGCTCCCCAATTCGGCGACAAGAAATGGGATGAAGAAGCTCTTCACACTCTTTCTTTGGCATTCCCAGGATACCAGGTGAGCGAAACAATGGCTTTGCTAAACGTATATATTTTAGAAATTTTTAATATTACCTCCGTTCGGCTCTAAGGGTCCCATTTATTTTTTGCGTATTGATCTTCGAATATTAATTATTATACTTCATCCGTAAGCCTCTAAGGGTCACATTTATCATCATTATACTTAACATTAAAAATATCTTTATATTTGTATATTTTTTTTGTACAAATATTCTTTTATTAGTATTATATTACATTAATGTAAGTATTTTTATAATTTTTTCTTAATTTGTACTACGTTTTGATATAATAATTAATATTCAAATATCAAACATGTAAAAAATAAATGAGACCCTTAGAACTGGACGGAGGTGGTATCAAAACGTAGTATAAATTAAGAAAAAATTGCACAAATACTTATCTTATAAATAGAAAGACATTTGTACCAAAAATTATACAAATATAACGATATTTTTAATGTGAAGTACAATGACGCAAAAGGTAAATGTGACTTCTAGAGAGTGATGAAGGGAGTTTTATTTATCGGCAGTAATATTTTACAAAAACCATAGTATCAATTACCATTTTTGCATTTATAGTAAAACATCACATCAACTGCTCAAACTTTCTGCTATTGTTAAAAATTTTTCAAAACCCCGCAATTTTAAAAACTTCTATCTAAACGTAGTCTTGTGTGTATGTTTTTGTGAAATATATCGATGGAATATTTACTTTAGCATACGAAGCTAAATTTATATGATGGTGTGTTTGGTTAGATTGTTGGGATTGAAGGTGCTCGAGAGATTGCACTTGGAGGAGGAAACATACACTGCATCACTCAACAGCAACCTGCAACTCACTCACTCACTCAATCTTCTAAATGATTTCTGATTTGAAATCAATATGTTATGGGAAGGTAACATTTTAATTTCAGTGAAATCTAGTCATGATCGTGACTATAATTTGTTTATGTATAAACTATTCATGTTTACTTGCCTTTATTGGGGTTTGCTTACTAATTAATTGATTAGTTGGTGATTTACTATTATTATTTTGTTTTTTTTTTCTTTTTCCATTTTGATTTTGGTTTATATATTAATTTTAAAATAATATTTCTTTCGTCTCAGAACAATAGTCTGATTTGGGCTCGATACGGAATTTAAAGAAGTGAGTATAAAATAGGTAGTAAAAGATTATGAGTGTATTTCTTAAAAAAAAATAATAATAATAAGTGACATTTGTATAATAATAATAAAAAATTAAAAGTTGTTTTATGGTGATAGTTATTTATAAAAAAGAAATTATTTTGTTTAGAGAAAATAAAATCTCTTCTGTCTAAGAGAATAAAATCTCTTCTGTCTACAAAAAGATTACATTTTGTCATTTTGTCATTTTGGTTAATCAAAATATATTTTTTTGGCGGTCAGTGGCGGAGCCAGAGCATTGAAGTCGGAGGGCTTCTCTTAGTAATAAAAAGTAAAATATTGAAAATATTGGAAATAATTTTTACATTCGATGCGACAACTATAATCGTCGGGTTGCCATATTATAGTATCTCTGTAAAATCTTTTCGATTTTACATTTTACAAAAATATTTTTTTCAATATAACATATTAGACAATTAGCAAGAAAATTATCTCTTATTGTGTTATACGGATCAAGAGAAAAAAAGATTTATTGACTGTTGCAGTTGTGACGGACAAGACAAATGTTAATACTATAAGTCGATATATCAAATGAAAAGCAGTATTAGCTTTGAACTCAACCATCTTCTTTGGAAAGATCTTCAATATCAGAAAGATTTGAGAAATCCGATTCTCTTCGCACATAATGAAAGTATGATCTAGATTCTCTCCGGTAAAGTTATCTTAGTACAACTCAGCTATGTGGCCTGTAAAAATATTTATATACCAATTCATCTTTCAATGATTGTATCAAGCACACGATAACAGATATGTTTTGATTCTTCTGTTGTAAAGTTTGTGACAAAACATTTTTGGTCTGTTTACTTTTAAGATTTTAAGTCTGGTTTTACTACTCAAATTTTCTTTTTCCTCTAAAAACATCAGATCAAACATTCAATTATTATTTATTTCATTACACTAAAATCTAATTTTACATTCAAAACATCACATCATTACATATTTATATCACATCAAACAACTATTTCAATTCAAAATTTTACTATTCACAATCAAAACCCAAAATCAAAACCTCACAAGTAAACTCATTTTTAATAAACGCATCATCAAATGACCAATGAATATAAATTCAAAACTCTTATCTTATCAATCAAATTAACCGCAACAAATCGACTATTTGAATCATCATCGTCCTCAAATACTGTCTGAATCACTTCTTTCACCACAACGAGTATTACCGGCTCGAGCTGAGGCCATTTCTTGATTCATTCATTTTCTTGTTAAAACACCACTTCCTCTATACGTTTGACACGAGTATCATGTTGTTGTTGTCTTAAATTATTTCTTATTTTACATGAAGCTCTGGCACCATTAACAATCATAAAAAGGTACTAAATTTTTTTTAAGACATACTCATTTTTGCTCACGCTAGCAACAACAACTAATTGAAGTTGGTGAAAAAAACAATGAATATAGTGTGCATCCCCATTTTTCTTTAAAATAAGTGTTTTAAGTCCATTGAACTCATATCGCATATTAGATGCACCATCGTAGCCTTGATCTCTTAGTCTTGATAATGTCAACCCATTCTTTGCAAAAAATTCATCAACGACATTTTTCAAAAATTGCAAACAAGTATCACTAACATGTACCACACCAAGAAATCATTCAATCACTTCTCCATCATCATTCACAAATATCAAAATTATCGACATTTGCTCATTTATTGAACTATCTCGTGGTTTAGCAATTAAAAGAGATAAATATTTATCTCCAATTTTATTCAAAATTACATTTCTCACCTATATAGCGCATGCATTGATAATTTGCTCTTGCATATCCCGAGAAGTCAAGTTGATTGTTGGTAGGAGCATTTGAATTTATAATACTATTTACTTCTTAATTTCGCTCACAATACCAACTGATAAGTTTAAAAAAGTACCTTAATGCACGAATTGTGATGACTCGTCATGTCCATGAAAAGCTAAGCTTTGTCCCAGAAGATATCTAATTATATCATCAATAGCAGTCAGTCGGGTGCGATAAACAATCTCCATTTCACTACTTTTTTGCGCAAATACATAATCCACATTATACTTTTGATCTTTATATCCAAAACATTTAGCTCTAGCATAATTATGTGAACTATTTCCATTACCCTCGTGCTCCTTGAATTTTAGAATAGCCTTTACCAATTTATAAATCCAATTTTAGTAAATTCATCATCTCTGTGTTTGTGGCCTTCACCAAACAAATAGTACCAAAGACAAAAGACGGCATTTTAGACACACTATATTCTAACCAGACAAACTCTTGAACCATGCATCTTGAAACTTTCTTTAACCATCACTATATTGACTTAGCGGAAAATCATGTCTTAATGGATGACAAGGTCCATTGGCCAAAGATCATCGCCTCAATTCATCTTTGATTTCATCATGATAACTTTCAATTGGTTTTCGAATACCAGAATCATCAATAATATCATTCTCTTTATCTAATTCCGCCGGTTGCTGAGACAAAAGCTAGAGATTGTAGCACAAGACAAACCGCAAAACTAAAAGTTAGAGTTAAAAAATAAAATAGTGTATTTAGGTTAAAATAAAAAAAATTAAATTAAATTTTTTTACCTAAATAAAAAAAACTATTCTGATACAAATACAAATGTAAAGCCTTTAAACTTCAGTTATTTTCTTCACGCCGATTTTCCAATCCAAATGGCCAAGAAAAGAAAATAAAAATAGAAATGCCAAGAAGGAAGTATTGGAGGACGAAGCAAACTATCGCTGGGATATAATTTTAGGGAAGAAAAATCATATATTTTTTGTTGGAGGGGTGACGGACCGGGTCTACCTCCGCCCTTGGCGGCGGTTACGGTCAATACTTCAAAAGCAACTATCAATATTTCAAATAGCATATGTTCTAAAATAAGAGCATGTAGTATATTAAGTGTTCTTAGTTCTTACAATATACTTGTATTATAGTTACATAAATAACATATTATTTGGACATCTTACTTATCAGGGCTGAGTCCGCACGGATTTGTTTTTTGATATCCTGCAAAAGGCTTCATACTAGTGGAGTTTATTTGGGACTTATAAAGTGTGTAATTTTCTTCACCACTTTCAATGTGGAACTTCCAACGTGGGACTTGTGTGGGACTTGGTTTGCACCCTAACATGGTGTCCGATATTTTCACAAAACAAAAGGAGAAAAATTGCAATATATTAAGGACTTTAAAAATTCATAAATCAGAAGAGGATTAATGATAAACAAGTGTTGAATTAAAAGAAAATTATTTTAAAACAAGTGTTTTAAAAAATATACGATTTTCTACTACACAATTTTAAAATTTTGAAAATATTTTATTTATAAAAGAAACACACATGTACTTTTATTAATGAGTTTTACCGAACGAAATAATTTCTAAGCAGAACATTAAAATTTTCCAAAAATTTATAGATTTAAAAGAACTTAACGACCTACTTTAAATAAAATAAATTAAAATAATTTGTAAGTATCTGAAAAGAAAAAACTCGAACTTACAACTAAGTAGAAGAAAATCTTAGTTTTCTTTTAAATTTTTTTGAAATATTGTATTTTATTTTTGTCCAAATACATAAATATATTATTACTCCATATTATAATAATTCGTTATTTCTATATTTTTTAATTAATTTCCTATATCTCATATAAAAAAAAATCTTTCAAGCGATTTCACAAAACAAGCACACACACCCCTATGTTTTGATTATTTTTTTAGCCTTTATTTTCCAATTTTTCATAAGCTTGAATTTTTAAATTGTTATTCTATAATTTCCAATTCCATTTTGTCTATTCCTATCAAAATTGATCCAATTGTGTCATAATTAATTGTAGTATCTTCACTACAAATTTACTTCAATTTTTGTCCGATTTTGAGAGATCAGCCCGAATATTTTCTTAAAAAAGATTGAAAACACAATTTAATATCTATAAGACATATCTAAAGAGAATACACAGGGGTGTTTGACAAATAACTTTTTGAAAAACTTTTAGTTATCGAACATTTTTAACTGTTTGACCAGTCAAAAAGCTAATTTAAGTGTTTGGTAAATTAGTTTTTGGAATAGCTTTTTGGACCAAAAAGCTGAAAAACTAACTTATGTAATTTTTCTGTAATTTTTTTTTTATTCTTTATATGCCATTCAAAATTTCTTATGCATTTTACACAAATAAATATATTTTGATTATTTAGTAATTATATTAGAATATTGTATTATAATATAATTTTACTTTTATAAATTTAAAATAATTAATTTTTATATAAAAATTATTTTAATTGTAAAATATATAAATTTATTAAAATCAACATAAAATAGAAAATATAAATATTAATAATTTATTTTTATATTAAAATTATATTATATAAATTTTATACTAAAATTAAATAAATTAAATTTATTGAAAATTATAAATATAATGAACTAATCGATAACTAACATAATAAATATATACACGAAAAATTTATTATTTTATATTTTACATCAATTTCAATAGAAAAAACTATTTATATATTTTAATAAAAATATATTATTTTTTAAATCTAATTGTAATAAAAATAAATACTTTTATAACACTTTTACAATTTTCAATAACTAATAACAAAAAATTTTAAACATTCTAAACTCAAAAGAACATAATTGAATATACTAGAAACAAAAATAAAATAGAAATATCCTCAATTGTTACGTATAAACAGCTAATATTAAACAGTTGTTTTACCAAATATTTTAATACAAACAGCTAATCGAATCAGCTAGTCAAACCAACTAATTCAATCATCAGCTAACTAATTGAATCAGCTAGCTAATTGCCAAACACACCCACACAGTCTAAATTGATTTTCAATGGCAATAATTAAAAAAATAAAAAAAAATCAAACCGATCATTTTTCCTAAAACTAATAAATAATAAAAAAAAATTACAAATCATAAAACTAATCAATTTTTTAAAAAAATCTTGTTTATTTTATTTATGTTTTATTTTATTTATTTATTTATTTTTTCGTTTTGTTATTTCTAATTATAAAAATATATTATCTCTGTTCCATATTAAAAGTCAAAGCTACTGTAAATACAAGAATTTATCATACGGTAAATTACAAGTACATAAACAAGTATTTTTGTAACAAAAGTAGTTGATATTGCATAATAAAAAAAATATAAAAAAAAGTAACAAATTTAAAAACAAAAGTTAGCATATAGACAATTTTAAGAAAATTAAAACTATTTCTAAATGATATAAATATATATTATATGGCGCAGTGAAGTGAGGCAGGAGCCACATTTCTCATTTGGTCGTCTTCCCGAAAAGGGGAAAAATTAGGGCACTCAATTTCAGTTACCGCCATTGAAATCGATCGAAGCTAAGCATGGGTCGGAAGAAGGGATATGTAATGCCCCATGATCAGCCGGACGACTTCGATCCGGAGAATCCCTACAAGGACCCCGTCGCCGCTCACGAGATGCGCGAGTACCTCATCCAGGAGCGTTGGATCGGCATCGAGAAGGCCAAGATCCTCCGGGAGAGGCTCAAGTGGTGCTACCGCGTCGAGGGGGTCAACCATCTCCACAAGTGCCGCCACCTCGTCAAGCAGTACCTCGACGCCACGCGCGACGTCGGCTGGGGGAAGGACAATCGCCTCCACGCCATTTACGGTCGATACTCAGCTTGATTTTTTATGTTTAACCGTCCTTTTGTCTGTGCTTCGAGTTTTCTGATTTTGGGATTTGATTTGTAGGTCCGAAGACTGAGGAGGCGCCTGCTGAGTGACTTGTTCGTGGCGACGTTACTTCGAGCTTCTGAATAATTTCAGGTCTGTTTGATGGTTTGAAGCTTTTTTGTTTTTTTTTTACAAAAATAAAATTATTTACTTATTTATTGCTCTATCCGCTTTCTTTAAGCTGCAATTTTGTTTTGATAATTGTATTGGATGGTTTTATCAGTATCATCCACCCTTTGTATATTATCATGGAGTGTGTGTGAAAGCTACTGTGATTTGTTTGGGTATGTTAACCTGACGCTAAGTTTTCTAGATGATTCCCTATTAATATTGCAAAATAATAAATTACATACACACACCATATGTATAGAGAGAGAGAATAATAAGACCCCTGTTTCCCAAAATTCAATTAGTATTCAACCCAAGATATTATCTTTTGTATTACCCCATACCGAACATAAAAAATAACTAAATCTAAAAACACCAATGGTGTGGTTGTTTTGAAGGTTTGGATTTTAGGTTAAGATTTTTAAATAGTAAAAATTTGAATTTGGATAGTTGTTTGATGTGATATTAATAGATGTTGTTGTGATGTTTAGAATGTAAAATCGATTTTAGTATAATATACAAAAAAATTGGTGTTCGCTTGAAAAAGTTGATTGAATAGTGAAAAATCTTGAAAAATCTACAAAAGGACACAAACACACTTTTTGATTCTGTTGTGATTGTTTTTCTTGATGGGTGTCTCTTCTCTCGTGTGGTTACGATTCCATGATATTATTTGTTCTGTAGGGATGTTTTTTGAACCTACTTCGGATTAGTATTTCATTTTTTAATCGGACTTTATGTATGATGTAGCATTGCATATGTGATAAAAATATAAATGTATCATCTTGTTCAGACTAAGCTACTCGATTCAGTAATTTAGTATTCTTCAAGGTCAAGCTCGATTCATTATTTTAATTAACAAGTCAAGCTTGGGCCTTAACAAGCTAGAGTTGGAAGTAGCTTGGTTCACATAGGCATAAAGTTCTACTTGTATTTAGGCAGACATTTCTCCTTTTGACTCTCTTTAACTGCAATGGTTTCATGCTAGACGAACAATTACTTATTACAAGATTAAATTTTTCTCACAATTTACAATCTTGCTATCCTTATTTGTTATCTGGAGAACATTTCCAAGGGTGTCTGGAGTGAGCAATGTGGAAAGTTATTTATGGGTGAGGGGTGGTGGTTGTTCTTGTTTTAGTTAAGGGGTCACAATGATGCAAGTGACAAATTATTGGGATTGAAAAAGTACTTTCACCTTACGAGTTGATCAGAATGTGTGGCCTGTGGTTCGGGTACTTTGTCATTAAGTCAAAGATGAAATAAATCAGACATTAGCACAATTGGTGTATCTGGTTTTGGTTGCATAAGTTGTGCTGCTAAGTTATCCATATTGTTTGTTTTTTGAATGCTATATCTATGAGAAGTAGAGTTTAGGAATCCCTACTAGGTAGAGGGCAACAATGCAGACCTATCTGAGCATGATTGGAGAATGGACTCCATCTGGGGGCTTTAAACCTATAATTTATGATTTTTTTGTTTATTTTTTAGTGTAAGGCTTGCAACAGGATAGTGTATAATCAATAATGTTATAGCTATGTAACTACTAGTAAATTTTGGTTATTCATCTAACTGAAATCATTGACTTTAACTGATGAAGGCTACAAATGTTTCGGTTTGTTATACAATACTTCAAGTGTGGTGTTCATTTAATCTGCCTTTTGTTCTGCGTGTGCTGCATACCACAATTTAAGTATGATCATCCATAGGAAATAAATTTACAATGTTAATCAAAAGCATGGGAAAAAATGTAATAAAATATCTCGAAACAATATATGCTCTATTAACTGATTGAAGATATTGTTTCCTATGTCTTTTTTGGTATATAGTATCCCTTTCTAATGCTTTTCTAATATTCTTATAATTTAAATTTATGTTAAAGTTCTTGCTAGAGATATTAATCTTACCTTTTGTATCTACCATTTGATTAATGATAAAGCTCCCCCCTCCCCCACTCACGCCCTCCCCCTCTCTCTCTTTTATATATATATATATAATGTCATGTATGTCTTGAGTGATTATGCTTTATCAATAAAAGCTCAAAACTGTTACCAAGACTGATTGAATTTTTTCTTCTAGTTATGTGAGTTGCGTCATACAATTTCAGCTCATCTACTCTAGATAATCCAAAATGAGTTTTTCTCATACCATGTAAACCATGGCAAGAGCATTGAAGTCACATTCATTTATTATTTGACAAATCCTAATTTCGACTAACTCATAAACCTTTTGGTTTATTTTAAATTGTTCATTGTGTCTGCTAGTGGCCTCATGCATGTTCCGAATATTAAAACTAGCCCTTTTCCAACAGGGAAGTCTCTTTGGATCAAATGCTTCATGCAATATCCTTGTTCAGTAATCATCTATCTCAAATTCGTTAATGTGCAGGTATTTAAAGTTTTTCAAGTATGCAATGCTGTGGACAGACAGCAACGAGGTGTTTTTGTTGAATTATCAGCCTGTAGCCCAGTTGAACTGTTGCCCTGTATGTCTTTTAATTTCAGAAATTCAAGGGCGAAAAGGGGGTGATGAATCATTTAAATTTTACTTGTGGATTTTTCTTTTTTGTACTTGTGAGAGTTTTATACTTAATAATAAATGCCGAAATGATGCCATAACATTTTCTTCTACAGCACTTGTGCTTCAACTATCCCAATAGTAGTTGTTGATTTTGAACTAAAGCTTGAACGGAAGTAAGTAAATTATATTGGGAACTAATTACCGAAGTAGACGACCATGGATGCATCTGAATATGTTGAAACCTCCTCTTTGATGCTCTAATAGCAGTGATCATGTGAAATGCCATTTGAACATTGTTTTAAGAATATGAATTGATTCGATTGGTTTGTTTTTTTTTTTTTTTTTTTGTTTGTTTTTTTTTTTTTTTTCTTTTCCGATTAAGAAATTATGGTATAATGTGATGTTTGATGACCTACTACAGAAGTACAGATCAATTTTTATCATATGCATATGTTGTGTTTTGCCTTTAATACAGTATCATTTAAATTCCAAGGTAGTGTACATAATACACTAGAATACTCATTGTCAAATAGTAATATGGACTCGCTGTTTTGTTATTTTTGAATGGAAAGAATGTTCTATGTATGCATCCTATCTTGTATTATCTTGTTTATACAAACTCACACAACTGTTCGGGATTTTGTCCCAAGGCGAGAGATGTCTCACCGTTTACTTTAAAAGGGTGTATAATTTTTCTTATTTTTGCATTTTTTTCTTCCTTTTAATTTTTGTGACTTTTTACAATTCCTTTCCAGTGTATATGTTCATTTTTCCTTTCCAATGCTTTTATTACTAGCTTGTTATTCTAACTTTACGCTAGCCATTGGCATTCCGACGCAAACTCAAATCATATGTTGGAAGTTTAAAAAAGAACTTACATTTTATAAGTTTCACATTAACTTTATTATTATGAGCTCTTTTAGGAGAATTTCAAAAATAAATTTGTGCGGATTTGGCCCAAAACATATAATATCATTGTAGTGTTGAATTGATATAGTCCTAATAATTGATATCAGAGACTGGTTCCAAGGATTTTGTCGGTAGAGTGAACTGGATGACATCGGACATTGGTTGTAGTAGTGGGAAGCTCTCGTTGACCTTGTGATTGGAATATGCAAATATGCCTTATGTCGAAAGTCTTCTGAAGCTGTGGTGGTTGGTTGGACGATCGGTCCCACCAATTGTAGCCAGATAGCAGTCCCTTTGTTAAAGGCAGTGCAAGATGGACAGATTAATGAAATATCACTGGAGGGGAGACCTATATGTTATATGATCCTTGGTTTTTGGCGTGTAAATCTAAGTCCCACATTGAAAAATTAGAAGAACTCATACTCTATAAGTTGTACGTAAAATCCACTAATATGAAGCTTTTTGAGGAAGCCCAAAATTAAATCCATTCCTAGCGTCCGAAAGTAAATTTTTCAACGGAATAATACTTTTTAGAGTTTCGGAAAATTTTGAGAACAGTAAAAGGTTAGATAAAAAAATAATTATTTAATATGATTATTACATGTGAAATTTTGTATAAAATATATTTCTTTGATATGATTTTAAAAGAAAAAGATACCGGCGATTAGTAGAAAAAGTGATTTAAAAACATAGGTAAATAAAGTCATATAGTAATTGCTATTAATGATATGAGTAGTATAGTTGGATTAATGGAAACAATTTTATGTACGTTTATCGATTCACCTATGTATCCATTAGATTTGTAATTGAAGGAATTGTGGACGATAATCAAGTCCAATTAATCTACTCATTTTGTGTCTTTATAGATGGATGATCAATATATATAAATGAATTATCGATGGACTAATTAATTAAAAAAGTTATGGTGTGTTTGTTTGGGGGTTTGGATTTTGAGTTGGGATTTGAATAGTAAAAATTTTGAATTTGAATAGTTGTATGACCTGATATAAACAGATGTTCATGTGATGTTTTGAATGTAAAATTAATTTTTAGTATAATATAAAAAATAAAAAATAAGTGTTTGATTTGATGTTTTTGGGAGGAAAAAATAAGATAAATAGTGAATTTAAAATCCAATTTCCCAAACAAACACACCGGATGAATTGCTGGTTCCACTCTAAGCCCCGAAAAGCACTGAAAAATGTGCGAAAGAACCATCGCAATAGCAATTATTAGAGGATATATTGTACAATTTTTTTTTTTAATTTTTTTTTCTTTTCGGATTGTTTCGAGAATAATAAATTGTATAATTTAGATATAATATGTAAAATATTTTTTGGTACGCTATTTTAAATAAAAAGTAAGCTAAAAACATATTTAAGTAAACTGATCTCTCCCGATCTTTACATGTTAGCATGTGTGTGCGCACGTATGTGCATATAGGCACAACCAAGATTCGATAAAAAGGGGTTAATTTTTCAAATTTACAAAACAATATATTCTATTTATACATATGAAATGACATATTTTTATTTGTTGTCAGACAATTTTATTCTTCTAGTTGTCATTATTATGTAAAAATTGCAAAATAACAAGCTACAACACCAATACTAGCTATATATGTAAATATTCATTTTTGTATATATATATATATTTTAATTAATTACAACAAGTAACACAGTATTTCACTAAAAACATTTCCACACAACTTTTAGTACTATTCTTTTCTTTTATTCATTCAAATTAATTTTTTTCTATACCACATATACATATATCTAAAAAATAAATAAACGAAAAATTCCAAATGAAAGGGGAGGGACCGGGGATCCGGTACCCCGAAGGTGATAGGGAAAAGGAATGGGGGCCGAAACCCACTCTTAACCCCTACCTAAACCCGTCCCTGCATATATATATATATACACATATTGTTAGATGAAATAAATGATGTCTCACCTAAAAATTTAAGTTATTAGAATACGTATTATTTATTTATTTACCTACAAACGAGAGTCAACCAACATATATATAATATGAAAATAGTTGCTAATGGTGTACATGACTGTGTATGGGAGCTCCCTTCAGTCCAAATCCGCGGGCGAAGTAAATGGGAGAAGTTGCTCCCAATTCATGCACTGGCCACCCCTCAAAAACACATTAGAAACTTTCACGACTATTCTCGCACACTTTTTATTTCTAACACAAACAACCCTTCACGATCGATGTTTTTAAGCATCGCCGAGTGCATGAAATGGCAGCTCTGCCCATTCCTCAGCCCTCATTTTTGGACCAAAGGAAGCTCCTCATAATAATCTCTTATACACACAAAACCCTCTCTCTCTCTCTCTTCTCTCTTGTTTGGATTTTTATAGTCATTGTTATTTAACCTTTATTTTTTTTCTTTTGCTTTCATTAATGGACAAATTATTGTTAAAATGATTCAACTTTTTGATTTCTTAAGGCCTTTTAGGATTCTCATATCCATAGTTTGGTTGGTTGTTGAAATATTTGATGCATATTTATCCCAATAGTTATTGGTTTCTACTTTTTACCTCTCATCCACCTTCGTATTATCTAATACCCTCATGCAAAGTTTTTGCATTTATTGATGAATACATATGTATATATCTCGAATAATTTTGGTACTAAATTTAAGCTATGTCACACTTGCATCATAAAATTTGCATTGGATACGAGAAGTACATAGACTAAGAAAAGAGCGCCGAACTTTGAATACTACATATATGGCATTTTTACAATGAAATTGAACCCTTGAACCTAAGGTTTGATTGGGTCCATTTCATCGATACTTGGAATAAAATCCAAATACAAAGGGCTTTTGTCATTCACATATGATTTATTTAAGATATAAGTGACGTACTATACAAACATATTTTAGTATGTTGGACGCAATTATCATCATCAATGATTGTTTTGAGTGTGAATTTATGACAAATCGTTGGTTTTTTAATATCAAGATTAGCTCTAAAGATCCTCAAATGCCCCTTCAAACAACAATCCGGTATCTTCAAGATTTCTTAAAATTCGATAAAATCTTCACAAATTTTAGGTGAGTTTGTGCACGCACATTGTGTCTATATATTTCATTTTGTCTCTTTCACATTATGTGTCATTTAAAAGTAATAAATGTTATTTCATGTAAATTCTCCTTTGGGGAATTTTAAACGATGAGAGGCAAGATTGATCTATCTCAATACATGCCCAATTTTGTCTTATCCAATATATATGTTTCTCCATAAATAGCGATGATAGCTATAGGGTGATCGGATTTTATTAGATGTTGGTGTTTTTCTTTTTCTTCGGCAACAACACCTAATCAATGAAAAAATCAGTGTTCATACATTATGTCCGTTAATGTTACACACTCGCCCTGCCTCCTAAACCCTAAACCCGATAGACGTACGCCTATTTCCATTTAATCATTCTTCTAATCCTTTCACTAGTGACTTTATTCCTCTGATACATCTCTTTAATCAGGGTTAAATTTAGGTCTAAGCAGGTCGACAAGACTTTCGCGTACTTAGCTGCTACAACCACCTAATTTTTATTAATGAATAAGACACGATCATGGACATGGATAGTTAACCCTTTTACCGCCATTCCATAACCGTGTTGAAAGTCTAGCTTAAACAACTCAAATATGAACATAGAAAATTTGAGTGATGGTGAGATGGAGAAGCATAATAGGAAATTTTATTAGCTAAATTAAATGCCGGAATTAAAAGAAAATGGGTGATAAAATCAGCTTGCTTACGGTATAAGACTGAAAATATCATATTATTAAGAAATGGAAAGAATGAAATAGTTTGGTTGTATACGTGTGTGTATATATGGACTATGGTTATATTTATAATATACAATGAGAGAGATATTTATAGGGGAAGTGATAGCTTGTAGAAGTTTGATGGTTACAACAACACATAAATAACTATATTTAAAATAACTATTAATAACTTACTAATAATTACCATGCATCGACTGACTTCTATGCACAGTTAATGAGGCCTCCTCATAAATATTATTATTACTATAACTTAAAATAAATAATACCAAATATCGACATAAATATATAAATAATTAAATTAATATAGGCTATAAAATATACTAAAGTCAAGAGTTATCATACACTGCAACTTACAGACTTTAGAAGAAAATGTAGAACCCCGAAAGCAATGTCATATAA